ATTTGGTGAGGAGATGGCTGACAATTTGTATAAAATATGAGCTTAGATAAATGTATGTATGTATGGCTTTGTATATACATACATATGTATGTGTGTAATCGCTTGAAGCATCAATCAGATTTCAATTTGATGATGATCATATTAATTAATTTATTTCAGAATGACATCATGAGCGCATGTTTGTTTACGATTACAATTGAAGCATGAACGATTCCACTGCTAAATTCATAGTATTAGTGAATGTGTGTGTGCCATCCTTCAAATTGAAAATAAAATACAATTACCGAAAATAGCAAAGCCATGAAATTAATGACAATAAATAGCAGCAGTAGGCAGCTCAAGCACAGATTTTATTGTCATTTAAGTGCGCGGCGCCATAAGCACAAAAGAAGACTTAGCTGGAGAGTCTTAATGGGGGCTTAGAAACATTTGTGTGCAAACTTAGGAATGCTTTTAAACAGTGGCGTAGAAAAAAACTGTTTTTTTTTTAAATGATTTTTGATGAGATATAAAAAAATTATGTGTTTTTAGGACAAATCATCATAGGAAATAACGGTCACCCTAATGTATATATTCCAGAAAGTCGGCATATATAGTGTTACTTAAAAACAGTTGCACTCACCATATAATCGTTGTGAGTCTCTGACTCGAAAATGAGTTGCAGATGTTTTCACGTTTGTAAATAAATAAAAATAACAAAAAANAAAAAAAAAAAAAAAAAAAAAAAAAAAAAAAAAAAAAAAAAAAAAAAAAAAAAACACAATGCACCAATATAGTTTAAACTTATGTATGTACATAAAAGATGAAAACAATTGCAACATAAATACCGAGAATGACATGAATTCATAACATTCCAGCTAGTCAAAAACCAAAACAATAAAAATTATGAAATACAGTTTCAGTGGTACGAAAAATCGTCATTTGTTCAATAATGCCCTCATATTTATTTCAGCATAGTATTGTACTTTTGGGCAAATACATATTAATAATTATATTCATATTAATTCAAAATACATATTGATAAAAATTACTCGGAAATTGTAAATAAAACTTAAAATATGTAATTATTCATCAATTTCTGTTCTCCAAAGTAGTCTCCACCAGATACATTAAATTTATGCCAACGATTTTTCCAGTCTTCGAAACACTTTTCATAGCACATTTTTAGGATGACTTTCAGCTCCTTCAGCAAATTTAGTTTTACCCCTTCGATCGACTGAAAACGGGTTTCACAGAGCGAGAATTTCAGTTTGGAGAACAAGAAAAATTCACACCTATCCAAAAGAATACGGTGGTTGATCGATAGTATTCATTGCATTTTTGTTTTGAAATTCGGCAGCAATCGTACTCTTTTTGAAAAAAATTCAGTTTTATCGGGGCGTGTCGAGTCGAGTACGTGTTTGATACTCTCTTAAAATCTTTCTAACGCTTGTCTAACGATTTTCAAATATCATATTCACCACATATTTCATATTTTCAGCGATCTCTTGACCGTCCTTGAAGGCTTTGTGTTTTTGATACAACTGAATCACCGTAAACCTTTCCCAACATTCGCAAAAAAATTTTAGACAAATCCTTTGTTTGACATTACTACTGAGGTGTACCGACTTAAGCAGCTGCTCTAAACAAACTGGTTTGAGAGATCGCACTCATATTTGGCTTGATAATTAAGGACAGTCCTACGAACTTAGCAAAATACATTTTTTTGAAATATGTATTATTTACACGGGGATTTTAGTTACAATATTCCTGTGCTTTTTTGTTACAATGGAAAGTTTAAAAAATATTTGCAACTTGCTTTTAAATAAATTTAACCGGTTCTGGTAGCCGATTTTTATTAGACTTTCCGGCAAATTTACCAATTAGTCACGACTGAAATAATAAAAGATTTTGTTGTAGATTCTGAAGAACAAATTTAATTTCAAGAAATTCCTTAATGTGATTATCGACGAAAGCATTTAAGATAGAACCGAAAGTCGTCAACAATTTCTTGGAGAACTATGGTAAGAAGACGAGCTGTTGTGAAGACTTATCTTGTTTCGATATAAAAAAAATTTTATTTCGGCTCCTTTAGATTCTTCTATTTTAAATCTTTAAAATCTCCAATGAAAGTGCCTTAACAATTTAAGCTTATTAGCATTATCTTTTTATAAAGTTAGTACTACATCTTTCTAAACTTAAGAAATTCTTAACTATCATCACTTTTGTTTAGCGGAAAAAGTATATTTGTGACAGTGACTTTGGATATTCCCAAATTGTCAATATTTTCCAAATTATGTCGTTTTATGCCACTAGACTTTGTTTTGCGGCTTAAGCTTGTGGAAGTTTGTTCGAAATTTCCACCAAATATGATTAAAATTCGCTAATTAATAAGTAAAAACATTCCAAAGCTGCTTTCGAGACCCTTTTATGGCCGGCCAACTCAAGACCAAAATTGTTTAAGAAATTGTTGCCTTTGTAAATATCAGAATGTGAATGCATCTATGTGTATCCAACAGCAATGTGCGTGTGTATTTAATTGCAGGTAAAAAGCTAATTGCTATGCTAATTCGGTCAAAATTTCATAAATATAGTATACGCGTCGAAGCAAGCGCTAACATGCTAATTCATCAAAATAAATGCGAAAAGTACACACACATGTACATATATAAGTATGTTTGATGGCTGTGTATCTGTACATATTACTTATTCAAATCACAGCGCTGATAAAACGTTGCATTTCTCTTCATAAATCCTTTTTAGTTGTAAAATAAAATGCTAATGCTTACTTTTTGGCATTGTTGTTATAGTTATGAATTGTTGTATATTGTACATGTATGTATGCATTTATGAAATAATAATAATAATACCCAACGATTACACTCTTCCTGCCCAACCGACGCAAGGGGCGCAATCCGCGAACGAGCGGAAATAGCCGAGTCATAAAAGGCAAGAGAGTTTTAAGCGCTGCGATCTTGAGCTGCTCAGCTACTGAAACAAAAATTTCAACGGCCAAGACAAAGTATTAAAATTAAAGTTTATAATTTTTAAATGTTACTTGTTAAGAGTAGATACAATAATATTTTTAATGGTAAAAAGTGAGTCTGTTAGATCAAACGTGTTGGAATGAGAATTGAAATCATGACATATGCGGAGGAATGGTTCGTTTAGCACAAAATTTGTTCTATAAAATTTTAAAAGTAAGGGTATAAACTGCCTGGTAGAGCGAGCGGTAACGTTGAAATTAATATCACATAAAAGAGATGGGCTACAGACTGACCCATTCATGAGTTTTACAAGAAATACTATACCAAGCATCTCCCTACGACTACCTAGTGTCGGGAGATTTGTAAGTTTTTAGCCATTAGTGTAAGTGGGAAGATTTAAACTGGGATCCCAATGCAAATGATTTAAGGGAAAAAGTAAAAATTGTTTTTGAACGGACTCTAACTTATCCGAATGGACTTGGTAACTACGGTTCCAAACCACAGATGCATACTCTAATATAGGCCTCACCAAAGATGTAAAAAGAATTTTCGTGGTAAGCGGATCTCTAAATTCTTTAGACCAACGTTTAACAAAACTAAGAGCACCTTTAGCTTTAAAAACCATGGAAGATGTGTGAAGATTAAAATTGAATTTGGGATCCATAGCTACTCCTAGATCAACAAAACTGTATACTTGCTCCAACCTAAAGTTTTGTATTGCGTACAAAGTAGGGTCTACAGATCTACGTGAAAAACACATCGTTTTACATTTTTTAAGATTCAATGGCATGTCATTTATATCGCAACAAGAAACTAGGTTGTTTAAGTCTGTTTGCCACTGACATCTTTCGCTGTATGAAGTATACGTTTTAAAAGGTTTTACATCGTCAGCATGTAATAGAACTTTTGAAAACTTAACAACAGACGATATGTCATTAATAAATAACCAGAAAAGAATTGGGCCAAGATGGCTACTTTGAGGAACGAATGAAGGGACATTGATTATGTCAGAAAACTTGTTGAATTCTATTACTAAGATAAGAAGCAACCCATTTTAGAAGTATTGGTTGAAAACCAAGAACATCAAGTTTATTCAAAAGAATTGAATGGGATACTTTATCAAAAGCTTTACTAAGATCTGTGTATATAAAATCAGTGTTATTATTCTCCCTAAGATTAAATGAAATTTTAAATGTTTAAAATTTTTGCAAATGTTTTATGCGCCAAAATAACGCTAGCATAATTATTTGAATTTGCATGGCGTGTGCGTTCATTGAATAATTTTTTAATGTACTTTTTGTTGTTGCTTTTGTATCTGCTGTTTTGTACGAAGCCTGCATTATGAGCTTTGAAGCGGGCGTGACGGCGTGCTGCTACAGTGCTCGCGAATATACCGAAAAGGAAGTCATAATTTTGCGTTTCGTTGGCATTGACTGAATTGATTTATTGCAAAGAATTTCGCGCTGAAAACTTTCATGAAACGCCAAAAAACAATAAATTTAAACATCTGACCGTGTTCTAGAGGCCCTTTGCCGCACTTTTACTTCACTTATATTGTGTATTTGTATGTGCATTTAGAGTTTTTGGCGGCCCACAGAGTAGGGTTGATGTGAATTCTAAAACCATGTTGGATTTTAAGTAAGACATTGTTATAAAGAAAAATTATGATTGATAAATAAAATAATTGTCGAAAAAATAGAGTAGTTTTTTAGCAAAAATAAATATTTTCAAATGATTTGTATGTCGAAAAATTTTCGAAAAATATGTAACTTTCCACCGGATGTCGAGAGAAGCATATTTTTGAAACTAAGTAAATTTCGAATAATATTGCATTATTGTAAAGTTTGATAATTAAATCTATATTAAATTTATTTAAAAAATAACTTTGAAAAACACTGAATTTGAAATACGAAACTTTGATTTTATATTTTAGCTTAGAATCCCTTATCGGTATTTCAATGTAATATAAAAGCGTAGTTTTCGTATATTATTGCATATACATACTATTTTTTCGATATTTCAACTTGCACTTACTTTGAAATAGATTCGCTGTAGATTCGAGTATGCCGCGCAGGCTATTGGTGTGATGATGCAAAAGGCGTTCAAATTCGCCGGTGGACTTCTTTTTCAGCTCCAATTCCGTTGCATTCGTACAGCAGTGCCCACCACAAATGGCACCTGAAAGAGTAGACGATGATAATAAATATTTACAATGGAATTATTTATATTTTGAAATATCGTTTTATAAATCTGTATATTTATATATAGTTAATATATGTTTGCAACGAAATATCGGGAAATACGGACCATTTTGGGTCCTACAAGAGTATGCTCCGGTCTTGAAACCTTCCGAGCATTATCCCTGTCGGCTAACTTCTCAAGCTTTCATACTCATGCAATCTAGTAACTAGTTTCGAAGTTTTTATGCAATTTATGCCTTAAAACAGAGATGATATTTTTACTTTTACACCATAATATAGAGAAAGAAGATAGCTTACAAAAGGAATAGACTTTGGAAGTATACGTATAGTAAAGGAAGTGTAATAAATTAATACTAGTTTAAGTAAGCTGTGGACCCTATAAGAACCTTGAAATACATTTCTTTAAGCAATTAAAAACCATACCATTAAACCTTCTTTTGTTGATGAGGACAGTACTGAGCTTTTGATTTCTCTGAATTTTTTCTGGCAAATACGGTAGGAATTTCGTGTTTTCAACAGCAAAAAGTAGTATATCAGACAAAGTGAATTGACGCGCTCCAGCTGTGCTTTAAAAAGCAAAACTCTTTACAATAACGTCAATAGCACAGTAAACAATAACAAGAACAAAGCAACAACTATGCAAATGTTGGCTTCCTCACTTTTCACACTCCACTGATGCGTGCCGTTAAGCTTTGGAGCTTTGCGAATAAAAACGGAAGCGGGCGGAGATGCAATCATTTCTGCGCAAATTGAAAAATTCAGTAAATGTGGATACACGCACACATCTAAATAAAAGCATAGAGTGTTAAACGTAAAGCCTCGGAGGAAAAAGTATAAGAGAAGTGTGAAATTGGAAAAGTGTCTGCCGCCGCTTGGCGCCAATTGGTGTCAAGGTGCCTTTATGCGACTGCACCGGGAATATGTGTGGCCGGCAGTGTTTTCGAATTTTACTACGAGGCAAGTTGTAGCTAAACAAATGTCGTTCAGTATGCGTCTGCGGCACGGCACATGCGGCGGCAGTTTGCTTCAATTGCTTTTACATAACTTTTTTTTATCTGCTTTGCATCGTTCTCTGTTTTAGGAACATTTCCAAATGTCACTGCAATATGTGGCACAAATGAGCCCTGAGAGGGCGTCATTACTTTGCCGAATACGAGGTAAAAGAGCTGCACAGACACTTCGTACTTCACTTGCATGGCAACAAACTGCAAATAACAGTCATACAAATAACACCAAAAATACGCGAAGGTCCTTTGTGAGATTTGCATGATTTGCTGAAAAAGTGTCTCTACATGCAACACTGCGTCTACTCGAGCCGCAAACCATAACAGTTTTCGGGAAATTTTGCGCGAAAAAGTGGAAGCGCACAGTTGTAACTGTGCGTGAAGTGACGAAAAGGCGGAAATAATAAATTTCTACAAAATGCTTAACCTTGGTCGGGAGAATGAATGACGAATGACACGTTCGCAACATAGGTGGAAGACTCTTTTTGTAGTGAATGTTAAATTTAATGCTACATATATTTTCCAAGGAGAAGTCGTAGTGAATTGTGATCATTTTAAGGGGGACTCTCACGTGAACGCATACATTTTATCACGTTTTAGGCAATTTTGTTTTTATGCCACAAGAAAATTCAATCATTTCAATTTTTTTAAATATTTTAATTTGTATTTTGTAATGTACAAAAAAATTTTTTTTTTTCGTTTTTTACATTTTTAATATATATTTCTTTTTAAATAAAGTAGTCCCCAAAAAAAAAAAAGTAGTTCAGTGGCCATGGTGATAGCTGGTGTTCATGTTGTCTGAAATAAAAAAATCTAATGGATTATTATTCAGTAGTTCTGCGGCTAGCGTTCCTACCAAATATAATCAATTTCATTACACAAAAAAAAAAAAAAAAAAAAAAAAAAAAAAAAAAAAAAAAAAAAAAAAAAAAAAAAAAAAAAAAAAAAAAAAAAAAAAAAAAAAAAAAATGTCGAACTTCAAAAAAAAAAGTCACGAAAACCATGTTTTTATTCGTTAAAAATCGTTAAAAAAAATGAAAATATTTTCGAAAATAAACAATTAGGGACGATAACTATAAATGAAATCGGTTGAATTCTTTTTTTTTACGACCATGGCAGTTTCAGGAACGTAGCAGCTGTAGACTTGTCATGGCGCCTGGTAGACAGTCGCTTACGACACGTCGGCGACTATGAGCGGTAACTTATCAAATACTATGCATTTTTCAATAGGTTCTACTGTCAAAATATAAAAAAAATCGATTTTTCGAAGCGATTACATGAGAATATCCCCGTAAATATTATATTAAGTTCCTTCGCCGATTTAAAAGGAGCCAAGGTTAGGTTATTTTAGATGGCTAATCTAGAGAGATCGCGCGTGAACTATTGACCTCCCAAACGTGCGACAGTCAAGAAGGAAGTGTTAAGTTGTTTCTCACCTCTTCTCCTCCCAAACAGCTTCTGTTGATGTCAACTGGTAAGATTCCCGGCTTTATAGCTTGGATGCCATAGGGCAATGAAAAAAGGTAAAAGCCACACAATTATGGAGAGTATAACTTTACTGAGGGCAAAGTGGTCCTAAGATCTTTTGCAATCGATCTTGGGCCAAAATAATTTTGTGACAGCGAATATACCTATTGGTGGCCCCGAGCTGGACGAGCGCCCGCTAAGAGCAGCTATCTAGTAGTAGAACACAAGAGGATACGGGGGCATCGACCCGCTCCAATTCAATTGATCGGCTTTAGAGTGCCTTTCTTGCTAGATCATCAGCTTTCTTACGATTCCGATGTGGCCATACCAGACTTATCACAAAAAGACTTGATGATATTAATAGCAAAGTTAGGCACACCTTGACCAACTTTGAATGCACTCTTAATTAGTTCCAGGCTAGTATCGCCGTTCTGCTATCCATGTGAATGTTCACTTCTCTGAAGGAAGCTGCACTCCGGAGCGGTAGATCTTCTGCCACCTTAATGGCTGTAACAGCGGCTTGGAAAACACAGTAATAGTCAGCAACTCTGATGCTGCTGTTGACATAGAGCTCCCGACACTCAAATTAGGAAGCAGCTCGTAAGTCTGAATTACAATTTAAAAATAACACAACATCGAAAGCTGATGGCTTGTCTTCAAAGCTTTTCGGTAGTGACTGTGAGTTACAAACAAAGCTGTATTATTAGAATGCTTTAAGAACCCCTCCTAAAAGTTTATAGTTTCCTTGTTCTTCCTTGTTTCTTGTCAACCTGTCAACACATTTATACCACTTTGCCTCTTTTGTCATTTACTGTGTTATTTAAAAATATATCAATTTATTATGCTACCACGAAGAACTCAGTGTTTGGAAACAATTGTGGCATGTTTGTTGCAACATGCAACTTTTAGTGAAGCGTGGACACGAACATTTGTGCTGACTATATAATGCATTGTATAGCCATCATGGATGGAAAGCTTAAATAAAGCTTCGCTAGAGCGTTGTCCAGTCAAATAAGGGGGGCCAGCAAAGAGCGGAATGTTGCAAAGTAAGGTGACCTCTATTCGTACGGCTAGCTGAGGCATGTGGTGCCACAAGCGAGTCGTGTCTGGGTATATTATATGTATCATTTTCCCGATGACTATTGGCAGCGGTTGCTTGGATATCTCGTCGATGGCGGCATGTCAGGGTCGACGTTTGGCAATTGTTGCCACACGAAACACGACATTTGAATTGAATTTGGAAATTTACTTTGCAAATCGAAAATTGCAATTGGAACTGTCGTTTGTGTTTTGCATTCAACGCGCTACAAACTCTTCTGATAGGGCACATACCCATGTGGCAGGCATATCTGTAACCATATCTGTGTCTCGTTCTGCTTTCAATCCGTTTTTAAGTGTTGTTGTTGTTTTTTTGGTGCACATAACATGAAAAATGCAAGTAATTTGTAGACGAAAATGCCGATAAAGTGTGCTACTCTAGTTGCGCTCATGTTTTGCCATGCTTTGTGTGCACTTTTTATACGACCATTTCAGACTTTCGGCCGCCAATAGAAAGTAAAATCATGCCAAACATTGCAAAGTGGAAATATGCATTCGTGCGAGGAGCCATCGAGCAAGGACACACGTGTTGTGGTGCTTCAGCTCAGGCGGTGGATATTGATAGAGCTGGCTGCTGGTAGTAAAGACGAGTACGGTGTAAAGGGTGGTTCATAAAGCTTGTCTTTATCGTTTGTTGTTGAAAGAGAAAGTTTTTATAGATAGTTTGAAGATACTAAAGAAAAATCTTAAAGCCACCAGATCATAATCTTGAGGGCAGAAGCCCGGTAAGTGATGATTCCCAACTAAATGTAAGAAGTGACAATTTGGTTACGACTTTGGAAACATTCAAAGAAAAAAACGGAAGAAAGCACTATTTTGAATAACTTTACAGCAAAAAATTGATGACACGATCTTAGAGGATCTTAGACCTAGCAATATGGCGACCCGTGCCACAAATCTTTGACAGAAACGATCGTTTTCACAAAAAGCTCACCAGTCGTTCGTTAACAGAAATTGAAGTAATAGTTTTTCAATATCTTAACAATCCTGAGTCAGCACCTTATACATATATATATACTTTACAAATTATGCCATATTTCGTTGTTATACAAAATGGTAAACGTAGCACAGCTTGTGGATCTAGAACTTTGTAAATTTGTCATCGTCTTTATTCATTGCAAAAACAAGCGGGCATCAATGCAACGCCAAAGAGATGAAGGTAGAAGAGTGAAGAGTTTGCCAGGCATACAAATACTGTTGAGTATTTGTATCAATGCAATGTGGCCGGAGATTGGCTTGTTCGGAGGTTCCTAATTTCGTTTTCTTTATCAACTTTATGGCTTTCGTTTGCGGTTATTTATGCATTCGTCGATAGCAGTACTCGTTGTTGTCTGCTACTTTCTTCTGCCTTTGTGGCTTGGCATTGGCAAAGTTTCGAGGACACTCAAACTTCTTCACTGAAAAAATG